CCTGGGGGCCCCCCCCTGCCTCTAAGGACAGTCCTGGAGCAAAGCACTGGGGCAGGTCTGTTCTGGCAGGGGGCTGCCAGGAGAAATCACTGGGAAGGGGCTTTCACCGGACCTTTCCTCCCTGAGGCTGCCTCTTCTCCAGGATTAAGGCGTTGGACGCCATGCGGCTGCACACAGACCTGACCCAGCCTATTGCAATGGCAGGAAACAGGGAATTAAGCCATGGTCACGTCGTGGCTGTGTGGGGTTGAGCCAGTGACTACGGGAGACTGCTCCCAGATACAGGGACGCTGCTGCTGACTGGGACCTGGCTAGCCCCGTGGTGCATGGCCACCAAGTGCCAGTGCCGTGCGTGCTACCCAGTGTTCCCATCATGGGTGCGCGGCGCCAGAGCCTCACCACCCACGGCCACCCCGGCGGGGACAAACTTGCCAGCGCTGTCAAGCCGGGTCCTGGCGCCTGGCAGCTGCCAGTGCCAGCTAAACCGACCGAGCCAGTTCTGCCAGCCCTGCACGGCGTGGGAAGGAAGGCAGCGCTCCCACAGAGCGAGCTGGGTCGGGAGAGCTGGGCTTCTCTGGGCAAAAGGAGGGTTGGCGGGATTCAGAGGTCCCACTAGCCTCATCCAGGCTCTGACTCAGCTTTTGGCCATGCAGGTCCCCTCCTTAAAGGCCACAGAGCCACCAAAACCAGGATGGGAGCCCCATTTTTGTGACTGGTGCTTCTCCAGCTGCCTCGTTCAATGGTGTCGTGGTTTAGGGCTGGGGTGACCACTAAATCCTGGACAGATACTCTCTGTTACCCCCTCTCTCTCCCCAGAAGGAAAGAGAAAGAAAATAAGCAAGAGAGACTTTACAGGTTGGAAAAGAAAATTAACAGGTTTAATAATAGTGGTATTACAGGGTAATAATGTGAATGGGAAAACAATGAAATATATACAGATATGTATATAAAACCAATATAAAACCCTCCCCCAATGATGGTGACATCACCAGAGGCACTGGAAAAGTCCCAGTGTGGACCCAGCAGCAGTGGGAGCTGATGCAGGAACACAGGGCTCAGGATCAGATATACAAATATGTACAAATATATATATCTAAAACCACTATAAAATCCTCCCCCCAGTGACGATTGCATCACCAGAGGTTTTCCAGAGCAGGGCACTGGAGAAGTCCCAGACCAGACCCAGCAGCAGGTGGGAGCAGGATGCAGGAGATGGATTCAGGAACACACGGATCAGGATCAGAGGCAGAAGAACTGGCAGGGTTCTGCTCAGACATTGGCTATCGCAAGAAAAAGGGGAAGAGAAGGGCTGAGACCCTCATAGCCCCTCAGCTTTATACTTAATGTGCTGTATGTCAGATGGAATACCTCGCTGGTCAGTTTTGGATGATCTGTCCACTCCTCCCTGCAGGTGCAGGTACAGTACCTGTGGTGAGAAAGTGGCCTCGTGGTGTTTACATAGCATAAAAGCGTTATCACTTGTCACATGAGCACTGTGTGGTTAAGCATGCCATTAGTTTCAGCAAGTACAGCCACTTAAAAGAGAATGAGCTGAAAAGTAAAAATCGCTAAATAGAAAATTAGTTCTGTTCAGCTCAAACCAGGACAAATGGGGGTGGGATGGAGGGAAAACAGCAGTGAGGGGGGTGGGGTGGGGGTCCCCCTTGCCTGCTGGTGCATGTATGGGCAGGGAGCCCGAGGACACCAGGGTAGGGCCAGCAGTGGTGACAGGCACTGCAAGGCAGTGGCAGGATGGGGTGAGTCAGGTGGTGGGTGTGGAGAGGACCTGGGGTGCCATTTGATGGGCTTCGCAGGGCTGGAGGAGACGGCAAGGGACAGTGCTGTCACCCTGTGATGGGCTCTCTCCAAGCCCTGACATTTTGTCTGGCGCTCAGTGAGAAGGAGACGTGGGGCAAACCTGTTCCCCCTTCTCCTCACAGCATGGTGGGAGCCCAGGTTGGGGACCCACGGTGGCAAGTGTCTGGGGTG